CCACACTTGCTATAGCACCCTTATCTTCTTTATTCCCTTCCTGAGGGCGAGTATATGGAGCAGGGCCATGATGTAAGAACTAATTGTTCTTAAGTGGGAGCTAGGATTTAGTGGGAGCCCCTAAACCCATTTCTGGATTCAAATTTATTGTTAAAGGAAATATTTCAGGAAAGTTTCCTTGTTTTTATCTTGATTTGTGCTACCCTTCTTCACCTGGACTTCACATGTGTGAAGAGAGCCAGCCTCTGACATCGCACCAAGCTGCGAGGGCTTGAAGCATTCTTCCTGGGTCCTGTGTGTGCTCTGACCGTTTAGCTGTTAAATTCAGAGTTGGGTCTATTCTGAATTAACTTACATGTGCAATGTGAGGTGTGCGCCCAGTTTCACTCTTTGGTGGGTGGATAGTCAGTCATCCCAGCACCATTTATTAAAACATACATTTTTAACTTTTATTATTTTAAAAATGGTTTTATTGTTCATCCACACATCATACAAGTCAACAGTTCAGTCATATGAAGAAGAGTTGTACAATCATCACCTCAATCAATTTTAGACCAGCACCATTTATTAAAGAGTATTCGTTCCTCATTGGATAGTCTTAGCACTCTTGTCAAAAATCGATTGGCCATAAATGTATGCATTGGTATCTAGACGCTCGGTTCTCTTTCAGTGATCTATGTGCCTGTTACCTGACCAGGGCCAGGCTATTTTGATGCCACAGTTGGATAATATTTTCTCATCATGAGCTGTATGCATATGCCTTTCTTCTGGCTCAGGATCCCTTTGGCCCCTTGAAATTTCCTATACATTTGAAGACTGGCTTTTTAATTTTGGCAGACAAGGTTGTTGGGATTTTGATAGGGTGGCATTGAATGTCCTGGATTGCTTTTGTACTGGTGTTGGCATCTTAACGCTATTAAGACTTCCATTTACTGAGTTTTTGTTTCATGTGAGCAATGTTTCGTGGTTTCCAGTGTCCACATTTCCACGTCTGGTTACAGTTTTCCGAGCATGTCATTCTTCAGATGCCGTTGTCGGTGGAATTGTTTCTTGATTTCTCTCTCAGCTGCTCGCTGTTGGCGTACGAGAGACCCAGCTGACTTTTGTGTGTTTGTCTTGTGCCCTGCCACTTAGCTGGATGAATTTACTAGCGCTACCGGATTTCTTGTTGATTCTTTGGGAGTTTTATGTATGGCATCGATGTCATCTGTGAGCCGGAGTTTTGTTTTGTCCTTCCGCAGTTGGGTGGTTTTCTTGCCTATGGTTTTCAATACACTGTCGAACGGCTGTGGTCAGAGTGAGTTTACCAGTCTTGCTCCTGATCTCAAGGGGTAAGCTCCCCGTGTTTCTCCAATGAGTACGATTAGCCGTGGGATCTGATAGAGGCTCATTATTATAATACTGAGGAAGAAAATGGTATTTGATTGACTATACTTACATTTAGAAATTTAGCAGAACATCAGATGGTGAGCATTACAGAGAAAAGCATTGCCTTCGGATAGGTTGAAGCCATTCTTGCTCAATGCTTTGTTTGTAGTTGAGGTTTTTGGAGACATTTTTTTCTGAAAGCAAGTGGCACACACGATGACACTTCATCCCCCAATCCATCCAAGCGTGTACCTCCTAAGAACAAGGATATTAATCTACATAGAACTGTACTACCCTATCACATTCCAGGAAGTGAACATGATGCAGTACTATCTTAATATATAATTTGCTTGTCCAAGTGTTTCCAGTTCTCCGAGAATTGCCCTTTGTAGCGTTTTGTTCCCCGCATCCCTGGCGGCAGGGTCAGGTAGGCACTAACCTGTGAGTCTGCCAGAGACAGGTGGCACTGTCTGCTCCTGAAAGATTCGCAGCTTCAGAAACCTGATGCGGGGGTGGGGTGTGTGTGTGTGTCTTTCTGTCAAGGGCCGTTGGCTCTTTATAACATCATCTTCAGGTCATACTGGTCAAATATTTAATTAACTTACCCCTTAACAGGCTGTTTGTCACTGCCCCTCTTTGGCGAGGCGTGTGATCTTAGCTGGTCTTGATTTCTTGGCCTTTAAACTGCCCGTGAACTGACATCCCCTGTTGCTGCCCGTTAAGGTCCTTCTGAGTTGGAATCAGCTCGGTGGCTGTGTTTTTGAGTTTTTTTAAATCTTGTAGTCAGCCTAGGCTCACGTTGTATTTGGTTATCATGTCTCTTTATTGTCCTCCAGTCTAAAGTGGGCTATGTAACCATAGCTGCTAGTCACAATGTCAGAGGTTGGAACGCGCCGGCTACTTCACTGAGAAACGATGAGACTGTCCACTGCTGTAGACTCAGAGTCTCAGCAACCCAGCGGGGCGGTTCTACTCTGGATAGAACCCGGGTAGTCACCTGCGTCTCTCATACGCCAACATTGAGCACGCGGACCCTCAAGGTCACTGAGTCAGAATTGACTCGATGGCAGTGGGTTGGGTTTGGTTGATTGTCGTAGAGAATTTCCACTTAATGTATTTCTTTGTTCTTGGTTAATTTCAGGTTAGATATGTTTTATAGGAACACCACATTGGGCGTGCTGTCTGCTTCCCGTTCCGGCACATCAGGAGGCACCATAGTAGCAGCTGGGCTCACTGTTGGTGATGCACAGGGTCATGATGAGGACTTGCAGCCTCTTAAACGTGTATCACTCAGATCATTTCTTCGGAACTTGTTTTTGTTTAATAATAGATGGTCAGGGGAGTGGTGCAGGGAGATTGTGTGGTGCATTGAGACGTGTTGTCAAAAAGCTTTTCGCCTGATGGTTTTAATTTGCTCAGTGCTTTAAACCAGAGTTTACCCAGCAGTCTCTCGATGGGTGGCAGTGTGACTGTGAAGCCCTTAGAATTTGGGAGGTTTGAGTACATTTTTCCTGTGACCCACAAAGGCTTTAACAGGTCTTTCCCCCTGCGTTTTTGGAGAATCGTTTTCATGGTTCTATGCACCAGAAAATTCAGTTATAACCTGGGAGCCAACCCTGCCCATGTGGTCTTCCTGGTTATCCAGCCCAGCACCATGTATAGCTAGGTACTTAATTTTCGTGGTTTGCTTGAGAACAGTTTGTTTGGGCCTTTTACGTATTCTGAGCCAAGCATTTGAAATTATTTTTGCTGTTGCTGTTATTTGGTATAAACTATTCTAGAGATGAGTGCAAAGGGGCTTAGCCCTTGTTCTGTTGTGTTTTTGAAAATTTTTGGGCACAGCCAAGTTTGATTCATGCCTTTGTTGACATAAAGTAGAGTTAGGTCAGCTGGAAGTGAGTTGAAACACCCATATGTGTTTTACTTGTCTGATTGTCAGTTGTCTCCGTAAGATAAAGTTCACCAATGCAAAGTAGCTCTTTTTGACTCTGTAGGCAAATGACCCCAATCTAGCTTCATACTTGTTATTACCTTTGGGCCCATTGTTGCAGCCATCTTGTCCGTCCATCTCCTTACCAGTCTTCCTTTTTTCTCTGACCTTCAAAGCATGGGGTCTTTTTCCAGGGCCTGGTCTCTCCTGATACCATGTCCAACATATATGAGGTGAAGTCTTGCCATCTTAACTTTTAAGGAACAATTTGCCTGCACTTCTTCCAAGACAGATTTGTTTGTTCTTCTGCCAGTCCCTGGTATACTCAGTATTTATCACCAACATTATAATTAAAAAGGATCACTCTCAGTTTTCCTTATTCCTTGTCCAGCGTTTGCATGCATAGGAGGTGACTGAAAAGACCATGGTTTGGCGATAGGAGCAGAACATGGACATTCTTTGATTCCAGTTCTTGTCCGTTTCTCTCACCAGTCTCAAAAGTGGAGGCATTCTAAGTGAATCTAGATAAGAGTAAATAAAGCATGCCCCTTACTCTCGAGGATTTTAAAAATCCAGTAGGACAGGGGTCCTCAAACTTTTAAAACAGGGGGCCAGTTCACTGTCCCTCAGACTCGTTGGAGGATCGGACTATAGTTTTAAAAAAAAACTATGAATGAATTCCTATGCACACTGCACATATCTTATTTTGAAGTAAAAAGACAAATGGGGCAAAAACACCTGGCGGGCCAGATAAATGTCCTCAGCGGGCCACATGTGGCCCGCGGGTCGGGTCGTAGTTTGAGGATGCCTGCAGTAGGAGATGGGATGTAAGCTGTGTCTACTTAGAAAAATTGAGGGACATGCTAAGAAACTACAGAAAAGGATAAGACTATTTTTAATAAGGTCGACTTTGGTGTCATTCATGCCTCACAGTATTTCTGGAAAGTGTACTTAACTTCATTTTACAGATGAAAAACCATGGTTCAGGGGGATGAGGTAATTTTGCAAAGGGCAAACTGATACTGCCGGAGCCAGGTCTCAGACTAAAGCTTGTTCAACTGATCACTGTGATTTATTGTCAGTTCTTAAGGTCACCATGAGTCAAAAGCAACTCAATGGCAGTACGACGCCGGATAATCCAATCTGTTCTGATTTTTTTGTCAAGAATTCAGCTGCTGGAAAGGGACATTTTCAAAGCGCTTAAGCGATCTGCATCTCCATCTCTCATCCTTGGGTGTATAATCACCAGCAATCCTGACTTTTCCCTTTCTCTACTTGGGGACCAAACTGGGTGGGAACTTGAAGGACTTTAGAAAGGCCTTGGTGACAGAGTGTTATGAGTTGAACTGCAAAGTCAGCAGTTCGAAACTCCTCGCCGCTTCACAGAAGAAAGACGGGGCTCTCTAGCCCCATAAAAAGGTACAGTCCTGGAAACTCACCCTGGCTGTCCTGCCCTGCTCTGGCATCAACTCATATTGAGTTTGGGCTTTTTTGCGGAGTAGGCTACTTAATTCACATGAACGATCCCATCGTTACTTGCGCTTAGCAAATGTTTTGATCTTCGATCTCAATGGCTAACCTTATTGGCTAGAAATAAACCTTCGGTTGGGTGAAGCTCAGTTCCCAAGAGTACTTACCATGAATACAAAAGTAATATTTTTCATCACTGAGCTATGTTTTTTTGGTTTTCTCATCAGGTTTTCTACTCATAAAAGACAATGACTACTGATGAGGGAGCCCAGAACAATGGAGAGAGCCCGGCTGCTGCTGTTGCGGACCGAGGAGAGGATATCACCTCTAAGAAGGACAGAGGAGTCTTAAAGGTGCGTCTCCAGAGAAGAATGGCTTAGAGGCACATCTGCTACCCGGAAAGAAAGTTGGGAAAAGCATTCGGGGATGGGCTTGGAAATAGTGGATTATGTTGTCTGAGGCCTCCTATAGACATTTTCCCATTTTCTTCCCAACTCTGAGGCTTATTTTTAATTCCAGATTATGGGTGGGAAAGCTGGGGTCCTGCAGGTCCCAGTTAGATAGGACTCACTAGGCTGTCTCTCTCTCCTCAGGGTGTGAAAATGGGTTCCTGTTTTAATGCAACATTTCAATATACCAACGCCAGCTAATGATCAATTAAACGATTTTTTTCTTAATGTTCACCTTTAAAAAAAAATCATTTTATTAGGGGCTCATATAACTCATCACAATCCATACATACATCAGTTGTGTAAAGCACATTTGTATACTCATTACCCTCATCATTCTCAAAACATTTGCTCTCCACCTAAGCCCCTGACATCAGGTCCTTGTTTTTTCCCTCCCTCCCCACTCCCTCATGAACCCTTGATAATTTATAAATTATTATTATTTTGTCATATCTTGCCCTGTCCAACATCTCCCTTCACCCACTTTCCTGTTGTCCGACCCCCAGGGAGGAGGTTATATGTAGATCCTTGTAATTGGTTCCCCCTTTCCAATAAACAATTTTTTTTAAAGATGGGGAAAGTGTCTAGCACAATTGAAAAAATGATTTATTTTTACATAGAAAAAAATGTTTCTATTGGCAACGAGGATTTTTAAAAAATTGTTTCATTATTGATAGATTAAAATATTATATTTCTGTTACTGTTCCTTTTAAAAAAATATTTTATTGGGGGCTCGTACAATTCTTATCACAATCCATACATCCATCCATTGTGTCAAGCACATATGTACATTCGTTGCCCTCATCATTCTCAAAACATTTGCCTTCTACTCTAGCCCCTAGTATCAGCTGCCCATTTTCCCCCTCCCTCCCCACTCCCCCCTCCCTCATGAACCCTCCATAATTCACAAATTATTGTTGTTTTGTCATAAGTTACACTGTCCGACGTCTTCCCCTGCCCTCACAAGGATGTTTTTAAAAGTTTCACCGGAGAATGTATCTTGCTTTTAACTTCTTTTTTCTATTAGAACACTAATGTTTTGTTTGCTTGTTTCGCTTTTGCACTCTGTAGTTAGTGTCGCGCGTGCTAGTTGTAGCTGTCATGGGGTTGTGAGGCAATCAGAACAACTCTTGAGTCTTTCACTTCATTAGGGAATAAAGTGAAGTGGAGAGAAATCAAGCCTCGGTGGCATAGAGGGTTACTCTTTGGGCTGCTTACTGCAAGGTCAGCAGTTCGGAACCACCAACTGCTCTGAGGGAGAAAGACAGGGCTTTACAACTCCAGTGAAGAGCTCCAGGCTGAAGAACTTACCCTGTTGGTATGAGTCAGAATCCACTTCTGGGTGATGGCCTGGTTGTTTTTTTAAGAGAGAAAGTAAAAGACTTTGGTCATAATAGGAACCAGCATGATTTCTCCCACCCTGTTGTTATACATACACGTTTTATGTCGTTATGTTTTCCTTTCGCGGAAAAGAACATCTTACATGTACTTTCTAAATCTCATCACTATGCAAAATCTTAATATTTTCTTTCTTTCTTTTTTTTTTTT